TCACGACACCGTAGGGGGTGCGCAGGGGGTGGTCCCTGAGCTCGCCCGCTATCCACGACACTGTCGCAAAGCCAAGCAGGCGTGGCAGTTTCACGACACCGTAGGGGGTGCGCAGGGGGTGGTCCCTGAGCGCGGCCGCTATCCACGACACTGTCGCGAAGCCTAGCAGGCGTGGCACTTTCTCGACACCAGAGGGGGTGCGCAGGGGGTGGTCCCTGAGCGCGGCCGCTATCCACGACACCAGAGGGGGTGCGCAGGGGGTGGTCCCTGAGCTCGCCCGCTATCCACGTCACTGCCGCAAAGTTTAGCAGGCGTGGCAGCTTCACGACACCGTAGGGGGTGCGCAGGGGGTGGTCCCTGAGCTCGACCGCTATCCACGTCACTGTCGCAAAGCGTAGCAGGCGTGGCAGTTTCACGACACCGTAGGGGGTGCGCAGAGGGTGGTCCCTGAGCTCGCCCGCTATCCACGACACTGTCGCAACGCCTAGCAGGCGTGGCAATTTCACGACACCGTAGGGGGTGCGCAGGGGGTGGTCCCTGAGCGCGGCCGCTATCCACGGCACTGTCGCAAAACCTAGAAGGCGTGGCAGTTTCACGACACCGTAGGGGGTGCGCAGGGGGTGGTCCCTGAGCTCGCCCGCTATCCACGACACTGTCGCACAACCTAGCAGGCGTGGCAATTTCACGACACCGTAGGGGGTGCGCAGGGGGTGGTCCCTCACCTTGCCCGCTATCCACGACACTGTCGCAAAGCCTAGCAGGCGTGGCACTTTCTCGACACCAGAGGGGGTGCGCAGGGGGTGGTCCCTGAGCGCGGCCGCTATCTACGACACTGTCGCAAAGCCTAGCAAGCGTGGCACTTTCTCGACACCAGAGGGGGTGCGCAGGGGGTGGTCCCTGAGCTCGCCCGCTACCCACGACACTGGCGCAAAGCCGAGCAGGCGTGGCACTTTCACGACACCGCAAGGGGTGCGCAGGGGGTGGTCCCTGAGCTCGCCCGCTATCCACGACACTGTCGCAAAACGTAGCAGGCGTGGCAATTTCACGACACCGTAGGGGGTGCGCAGGGGGTGGTCCCTGAGCGCGGCCGCTATCCACGACACTGTCGCAAAGCCTAGCAGGCGTGGCACTTTCTCGACACCAGAGGGGGTGCGCAGGGGGTGGTCCCTGAGCGCGGCCGCTATCCACGTCACTGTCGCAAAGTTTAGCAGGCGTGGCAGCTTCGCGAGACTATAGGGTCAGCGCAGGGGGTGGTCTCGCGCTGCAGTGATTATTTCCCCACATGCTTCGTGGGGTTCTGCTTTTCTTCCCTTCCGCGACTCACCCGCGTCTCCTCCTTCTCCTTCTCCTCCCTCTCCTTCTCTTCCCTGCCGCGCCGCACCCGCGCTCATTCACCTCACTCAGCTCAGCTCAGCACAGCACGGCACAGCACAGCTCGGCTCAGCTTAGCTGAGTGCGCAGGGGGTGGTCTCCCTATGCGTGCCAGTATCGTCCAGGCATTGCAGGCGTGGCATTTTCTCGACACCAGAGGGGGTGCGCAGGGGGTGGTCTCCCTATGCGTGCCAGGGTCGCCCAGGCATTGCAGGCGTGGCATTTTCTCGACACCAGAGGGGGTGCGCAGGGGGTGGTCTCCCTATGCGTGCCAGGGTCGTCCAGGCATAGCAGGCGTGGCATTTTCTCGACACCAGAGGGGGTGCGCAGGGGGTGGTCTCCCTATGCGTGCCAGGGTCGTCCAGGCATAGCAAGCGCGGCATTTTCTTGACACCAGAGGGGGTGCGCAGGGGGTGGTCTCCCTATGCGTGCCAGGGTCGTCCAGGCATAGCAGGCGTGACAGTTTCTCGACACCAGAGGGGGTGCGCAGGGGGTGGTCTCCCTATGCGTGCCCTGGTCGTCCAGGCATAGCAGGCGTGGCACTTTCTCGACACCAGAGGGGGTGCGCAGGGGGTGGTCTCCCTATGCGTGCCAGGGTCGTCCAGGCATTGCAGGCGTTGCATTTTCTCGACACCAGAGGGGGTGCGCAGGGGGTGGTCTCCCTATGCGTGCCAGGGTCGTCCAGGCATAGCAGGCGTGGCATTTTCTCGACACCAGAGGGGGTGCGCAGGGGGTGGTCTCCCTGTGCGTGCCAGGGTCGCCCAGGCATAGCAGGCGTGGCATTTTCTCGACACCAGAGGGGGTGCGCAGGGGGGGGTCTCCCTATGCGTGCCAGGGTCGTCCAGGCATAGCAAATTGCCCCATTTTCTCGGACACCAGAGGGGTGTGCGGACAGGGGTGGTCTCCTATTCGGCCAGGGTCGTCCAGGCATTGACAGCGGTGGCATTTTCTCGCACCAGAGGGGTGCGCAGGGGGTGGATCTCCTATCATGCCCATAGGGTTCGCCCAGGCATTGCAGTCGTGCATTTTCTCGACAACCAGAGTGTGCGCAGGGGGTGGTCTCCCTATGCGTGCCAGGGTCGTCCAGGCATTGCAGGCGTGGCATTTTCTCGACACCAGAGGGGGTGCGCAGGGGGTGGTCTCCCTATGCGCGCCAGGGTCGTCCAGGCATTGCAGGCGTGGCATTTTCTCGACACCAGAGGGGCTGCGCAGGGGGTGGTCTCCCTATGCGCGCCAGGGTCGTCCAGGCATAGCAGGCGTGGCATTTTCTCGACACCAGAGGGGGTGCGCAGGGTGTGGTCTCCCTATGCGCGCCAGGGTCGTCCAGGCATAGCAGGCGTGGCATTTTCTCGACACCAGAGGGGGTGCGCAGGGGGTGGTCTCCCCATGCGCGCCAGGGTCGTCCAGGCATAGCAGGCGTGGCATTTTCTCGACACCAGAGGGGGTGCGCAGGGGGTGGTCTCCCTATGCGTGCCAGGGTCGTCCAGGCATAGCCTCTAGTGCGGGATTGCGTATTACCTCTCGTATCCAAGTGCCAGGCGACGCCGGATATGACCGTCACTGATGACTCCTCAACCCCTCCTCTCCCCCCACACGTCCTCCCCCTCCTTTCAACGACCACAGGGGGCACCTGAGAGCATGACGGCGGTGGTAGTGGTAGCGCGGTTCACACTAGACATAAAATCGGTATGTGGGGTTCCTCGGTAGCGTAATTCGTTTGTCCCGAGACCAGGTAGGGGCCCACAGAGGCCGAACATTGCGACAAACCTCCCGTCGTGATTCGTTCATGCCTCGAGGGGGTCTGGGCAAGAAGGACGGAACGCTGCTGCCTTGGAGTCGGCGGCGCCTCGCCGACAGCTCGGCGATTTCGGCTCTCGACAGCGACACCGCGCGTTCCTGGGCAATCTGTTTTTCGATTTCGTTTTGGTTTCGTTTTCCATCGTTTTGTCTTCAATCCGCCTGTACCGCAAAACGACGTCGAAACGAAAACGGCCAACGAACTCGCTCAAACACCGTTCAGGTCCACCCCTGACCTGGGACACCCGGGCGATCGGCGAGCAGCGGGCGATTGGGGATGTGGGGGGGGAGACCATGCTGCCCCCATCCCCGAGCCAGCCCCCTCTTGGCGGCCAGCGAGGGGGGGAAGTGAGAAGGAGAGGGCCTCCTCAGAAGGCGGCGGGACTGCGCAGACGCCCTCGCGCCTTCTGGGACGCGTTCTGCGTCTGCGGGGATGGCTTAGACGGCTTCTCAGAATAGGGGAACGAACAATGCCATAAACATAAAAACTCGGAGGTCCGCGCGAACTTCTCGGATCGGCGCTGGACCCCCTCCCTGGTGCGCTCCGCACCAGGGGCGGCGCCGGAGGCGCCGCCAGGGGAGTCCAGCGCCGATACGAGACATCCGCGCGGACCTCCGAGTTGTCATGCTTATGTCATTGTTCGTTCCCCTACCGAAGGCCCGACTTTTCTGAGAGCCAGGGGGCTTCCGAGCTTTCTGAGAAGGGCCGCCCCTTCTCACTTCCACCCCGGGCGCGCCGCGAGTCCTCCCTTTCGGCGCCACTCGTCCTTGGGGTTCTGGGGGTACCGCATCTTCTCTGGCAGCATCAGCTCGGCCTCGGAGATCGCCGCAGCCAGCGCCTCCTCGGCGTCTGGCAGGGCCACCTGGGCGCCGGGCTGCAGCCTGGCCACGTGCCCCCTGGTGCTGTCGACGATCACCTCGAACACCTCTTCGTACCTCTTGAGGATATCAATGAGCTTCTCGTTCGTGAACTGCGGGTCCTTTCACGACGGGCGCACACATCCGTATCGGCGCCCTCGCGGTCTGCATTCCGGGGTGCGATCCCGCGGCTGTGCCGTCGCGCGACAACAGCGCCCCCCCAGCCGCGGGGCCGCGGCCCCGGGGCCCGGCCTGCGAGGCCGCGGATACAGACATGTCTTTCGCCCAGGAGCCTTCTTGAGCTGCGCCACCTTGAAGTCTGACCCCAACTGGCCTACGGCAACGATCTCTCCGTCGTAGCTATCCACTGCCTCGTATAGTGTTGCTCCCACCGCACTTACGGACCACATCCCAGAAATAATTTCGAGCACCCGGAAAAGTGTCGAAAGAGTGTCGAAACAGTGTCGAAACAAGTGTCTCCCAGGGCCCGGCGCGTGAAAACTCTGGAGCGTCGGTACTTCCTTGGTGCTCGAAGTTCTCTGGCGAGCAAGGCTGAAGTAGGTTGGAGCATCATAGGCCTCGTACAGGGCGCGGGCCATCGCCCACTCCTTCCTCTTCTCGCGCTCCTTGGCGGCCCCCACGCGCGGCGTCCAGATCAGGTCGTAGTACCCCTTGTTGGGCCCGCCCCACACGGGGCCCCCCGACAGCGCCTGCGAAATGAAGCCTCCGCCGCCGCCCTTCGAGGCGTAGGTGCTCTTCTTCTTGGGCTTCGTGGCCTGGGGAAGCGAGAGGATGCTGCTGCCGCCACTGCCTGGACCTCTCCTGGGGTGCGTGCTCACCGGAATTCGGGGGCGAATCCAGGTGTGGCGACGAGGGCCTCCCGGGAGGCCCCCAAAAAGGGGAAGCCGAAGCACGGGCATCGGCATGGGCACCTGTTTCCCCGATGGGTCTGCATATATCGAGGCATCGCGGCATCGGCGTCCTTTCCTTCCCCGACTGCCGATGCCGCGGTGGCGGCCGCCGCCGGCGCCGTGGCCGCCGCGGCCGCTGCCGGGGCGGCCGGGGCCGCCTGCGCCACGGCCTGTGCCGCGACCATCGCCTGCGTGACGGCGCCCGTGGGCAGCGGGGGCCGCATGGCGAAGAAGGTAGGGGGCCACATGCGAACCCTGCCCCTACCCCCCACGACTTCTGAGGGGGAGGGGGGGGTTCACTTCGCTCGAGAGCTCCCGAACGAAGTGAACCCCACCCTCCCCCTCAGAAATCGTGGGGGGTAGGGGGCAGGGTTCGCATGCGGCCCCCTGGAAGGGGCGGGTGGGGGCAGCCCCTGCGGCGGGCTCGCAGCGGCGCGGGCGGGGGTCCGCTCTGGCTCGGGCCCGAGCCTGGCGGCTGGAGCCAAGCGGCCTGAGCCCAGGTGACTGCGCGCGGCAGGCTCCCGGGGCCCCCCGGGGGCGCCTGCTTCGGGCTGCACGGGCGTGGCCTCCTCTGGGAAGAGGCCTGGCCTCTCGGGGCCAGGGACGGATTTCGGGACAAACCCAAATTCCTGAAGGTTGGGTCGGGCATGTCCTCCTGGAGCCGGATTTTGGAGGAAAAGAAAACATAATCCAAACATGCTCCAACATGCATGGCCACAAATAATCACCACATCATCCAGACTATATTTTGACTACTTTGGAACCTTCCTCCTGTAGAGGGACAGGCACGACTTGACCTTAAGGGGTCCCTTTCCCTCATGGCGGGCGGGCGGACCCCTTCCCGGAGCGCCCCTGGTAAGACGGCGACGACGACGGCGATGGCCTGCACAACAGCCGGGGCCCCCGGCGGCGGTCCTCGAACCTCGCCCACGACAGCGGCGGACGATGGCGGCGGCGACATTGTCGTCGCCTCTCTGGTGCCCCAGCTGGCCTCCTGTAGGCCACAACGTGGCCCACAGGTGCAGGAAGAGGAGGAGGAGGAGGAGGAGGAGGAGGAGGAGGAGGAGGAGGGGCGTCTTGAGGCCCTTCAAAAAATCGGCTCGAGGGGCCACGAAGGGGCCTGGCCGTCGAGACAAGCCTCCAAGAGGGCGGCCTGCAGACCCCCGCGAAGAACTCTCCAAGGTCCGGGAAGGTCCCTGGACGGCGACGACGACGACGCACGACGACGACGCACGACGACGACGCGCCACGACGACGCGCCACGACGACGACGACGACGACGACGACGACGACGACGACGACGACGACGACGACGACGACGACGACGACGACGGCGGCGGCGGCGGCGGCGGTCGAGAAGCAAAACACTGCACAGACAAACGTTCGGATGTCCGCGCTGCTGATTTCCTGGATCGGCGCTGGGCCTCCCATCCCTCGCGTGCGGAGCGCGCCAACTGCGGCGGGCCCCGGCGCCGATCCAGGACATCCGCGTGGCCTTCCGACAGTTCATGCTCTCCATGGCGGGAGGTCCCGCGATCGAAAGACAACCACCTGAGTCCTCAATGGCGCCTCTGCACCGTTACTGGGTCATCCAAGCCGCAATTCAACACGATTGTTGCGTCCTCACAGTTCGGGATCGATCCCAAACACCGGTTCTCGGACTTCGGTGCTGCCCCTCCTCGGCGACGACGCCCGACGGCGGCAACGGACAAGACGGACGGACGGCGGCGACGAGGTACTCGCGGCTCTTTGGCGGCGAGGACGACGACAGAGTCGGTGGCGGCGGGGGTGAGGGCGAGCACGACAGTGCTCGGCGGCGGCGGCGAGGGCGGCGGCCAGGGTTAGGTCGGGCATGTCCTCCGAATTGTAAGCGGATTGTTGGAAGAACATTTGAATCTAGTTAAAGAGTGCTCAAATGCAGCCAACCATAGTCGAAACATCGTGCCGAGACCATGCCTTGAACTATGTTTGAATACTCCTCCTGTAGAGGGACATGTCCGACTTAAGGGTGGGCACGAAACGCATGCGTAATGGGCGCATCGGTGGCCCATGGTTTGGCTGTTGCCTAGGTGCTGGCTCCCCGGGTGTCTGGCCGCGGGAGGTGTCGGCACGGTGTCGGCAGAATTTCCCACACCCTTTTGTAGGGTGTTTGCCAAATCACTCAAGCCCACGCCGACCGATCTTACCTCGATGTTCTGCAATGCTCTTGCTGCTCCTATTCCCTCTCCCTCCCTTTTCTCCTCCTCCCCATAATCCTCTTTCCCGTCGACGGCTCTGTCTCTTGCCCCGTCCCCCTCCTCCTCCTCCTCCTCCTCCTCCTCCTCCCTCCTCCCTCCTCCCTCCTCCCTCCTCCCTCCTCCCTCCTCCCTCCTCCCTCCACCCTCCTCCCTCCTCCTCCTCCTCCTCCTCCTCCTCCTCCTCCTCCTCCTCCTCCTCCTCCTCCTCCTCCTCCTCCTCCTCCTCCTCCTCCTCCTCGTTCCTCCTCCTCCTCCCTCCGATCCTCCCTCCTCCTTCCTCCTCCTCCTCCTCTCCTCCTCCTCCTCCTCCTTCCTCCCCTCCTCCTCCCTTCTCCCTCCTCCCTCCTCCCTCCTCCCTCCTCCCTCCTCCCTCCTCCCCCTCTCCTTTTCCTCCCTCTCCTCCTCCTTTTCCTCCTCCTCCTCCTCCTCCTCCTCCTCCCCTTTTCCTCCCTCCTCCTCCTCCTCCTCATCCCCTCCTCTCCTCCTCCTCCCTCCTCTCCTCCTCCTCCTCCCCTCCTCCTCCTCCTCCTCCTCCTCCTCCTCCTCCGCCCTCCCTCCTCCTCCTCCTTCTCTCTCCTCCCTCCATCCTCCCTCCTCCCACCTCCCTCCTACCTCCTCCCTCCTCCTCCTCCTCCTCCTCCTCCCTCCTCCTCCTCCTCCTTCCTCCTCCTCCTCCTCCCTCCTCCTCCTCATCCTTTTCCTCCTCCTCCTCCTTTTCCTCCTCCTCCTCCTCCTTCCCTTCTCCTCCTCGCCCTCCTCTTCTCAGGGCGCCGTCAGCCCGGCGGGCGCCGTGAGCTCGGCGGATCGCTGCTCCTCCTCCAACTCCAGGAGCGCCAGCGCCCGCTCGGCCGCCTCCGTAATCCGCCGCAGCCGCCGCAACCGCAGCCGCCGCCGTCGCCCCCGCCGTCTCCCCCGCCGTCGTCCTCGCCCGTGCCGCTTGATGGGCCTGTTCTCCACCACCACCACCATAACTTGGAGGGGTGAAGAGGAGGAGGATGAGGAGGAGGAGGAGGAGGGGAAGGATGAGGAGGAGGAGGAAGAGGACGAAGAGGGGGAGGAGGAAGAGGAGGGGGAGGAGGAGGAGGAGGAGGAGGAGGAGGAGGAGGAGGAGGAGGAGGAGAAGGAAGACCCCGCCCCCCTCCTACTTATGGTGGTGGTGGTGGTGGTGGTGGCTGGTGGAAAACGAGACCATCACCGCTGTCGCCGCCAGCGAGCGCCCGCTTGGCCGCCTCCGTCGCCGCCGCCTCCGTTGCCGCCTCCTCCGTGGAAGGGGTCGCCGTCCGGCAGCGCCGTCGTCGATCGGGGTCCGACGAGCGGGGCGCGAGGCTCAGGCGGGCGCTTTTGGCCGGATTGTCCTCCAGAGGACGCGGCGGTTGGGTCGATCGCTGTAACCGCCGTCGTCGTCGCGACACGTGTGTCGACGCTGTAGTCGTCGCCTTCCGGGCTCAACACGCTGCCTGGATCAAAGCGTCCTGGCCTAGTTGCTAGACGCGTGGCCTTTTTGCAGTCTTGACCCACGATTGCCTCTTCGATTGCGGCATTGAAGATCAACTGACCGTCGTGGCCGTCGTCGTCGTCGACGCCGTCGCTGTCGTCGATCGAAATTCAAGGGTCGGTGCTCCCTGATGGTGACAGATCCTTTCGGGAGTTGCTGGAGGTGTCCCCACGAGAAAGTGCCCCCAGGATCGGGGGCCTTCGGGGGGCAAGCCGAGACGAGAAACGGGATCGGACATAGACTGACCCTTCGCAAACGGCGTTGTTCGAATCAGCCCCCCGCGGAGCAGCCAATCGAACGAACGGTCGCACGCGGCGTCCCCCACCCCAGAACGCCAACCCGTGCGTCGACCCCTGCAGAGGCCCCCCTGCGAAGACCTCGCAACGATCCCTGCAGTCACCCTGCAAAAACATGTGAAGACCAGAAGGGGACCCCTGCAAAAATCTCGCCAGCAACCTTTCGATTACCTTACAACAATACGTTTCACCCTGCAAGACACCCTGCTGTGCGTTGCAAGTCCCCGCAGCCGGCCCTCTGATACCTTACAATTGCCCGTCCATTTCTCCAGCACCAGCCCTCTGGGCGTAGAACGCTTGAGGGATCCGGTTCTCCTCGGGGTTCCCCCGAAGCTTCTAGAAGGCCCCAGAGGGGAGTTCCAAGACAGGCCCGAGCGGGCGCCGAAAAAAAAACGCAGAAGGCCCAAGAGGGCCCCAAGAGCGGCCCAAGGGGGCTTCAAGAGGGGCGCATGATGCATCGCGCCAAAATCCGCCTGATGGAGTTTGGCGCGACGCCTGCGAATGCCAACTTGGCGCTCCCTTTAGGCCCTCTCTGGGCCCTCGTGGGCCCCTCTTTGACATTTCTGGGAACTCCTCGGGGCCCTCCCAAGCCGCGCGATATCATTGGGGCCCGGGCCCCAACGCTATCATAGGAACGGGCTATCGCATGATATTGTTGGGGCCTGAGCCCCAGGGATGTCGCGCGGCCCAGGGAGGGCCTAAAGGGATCCCAAAGAGGGCCACAAAAGAGTCCCTGGAACCATCTTGGGCCCTTTGCGCGGTCCTCTGGGGGCTCTCCTGGGGCCCCATGGCGACAGCAAAGCAGCAACAACTTACTATTTCACTCCCATCTACATCCCGTTTCCACGGGCAACGGCTGCCCCCATTTTTGTTTTACTGCACGCAGCGACACCTCCCTGGTAACGGCGACCCGTCTGGGCATCTTCTCTGAACGGGGCGGCGGGGGCGCGCGAAGCGACAGAACCTCCAGAATTCCGCAAATCATCGCCGCAGCGAGTGAGGATGCTGCAAGTGGGCCCCTGGCCCCCCCCGACCTCGGCCTGATCATCGTATTCTGACCTCCTCGCCGCTCAACCCTGAACGGCGTCGCGCCGACGCTCACGCATGTAAAGGGAAATTAGGACACACAAATAAATACACACAAATAAAAATATTCCCCATACTTGTCCATATTTTCTGGGTTTTTGTCTTCCCCCCCACTGCCCATATTTTCCCATATTTTCCTGGGAGTCGACGATTAATTGTGTCTGTGTGTTTTTTCCCCTCCTGAGCATGGCCTGCACGATTGGCCTCCGCGGTTTGCCGCCGGGCAGCAACCTTTGGCAGCTGGGCCCGCGGCGCCCTTCTTGGGGCACGCTCGTCCACCCCCCGAAGAGCCTGCAGAGGGGCCCTCCGACCGCCGCGCACGATTACTGGTGAGTCGGCCCTGCCCCCCTACAAGGGGATTTTGGGAGAATATTGAACAATACCCACAAAAAACTCCAAAATAGTCCAGCAACGGTGGAAGAATAGTCCCCAGACTATTTCTGGACGTTATTCTTGAAGACTCCTCCTGTAGAGGAGCAGTCCTGACTCACGATTACTGGCCGACTACCCTACCAGGTCCCCAGATTGTTGAAGACTCCGGGAGACCTGCCCTCAGCGACTACGCCGTGCTCCCGTTGCAGCGCAATCCCCCTCGTGTCATTGCTGCCCTCTTCCGAATAGTCCGACGAGGCGGTTTCGACGATGACGCGATTGGACGAATCTTAGTTTGACGAGCGTTTGACAGGATATAGCGAATGTGAACGAACCTTTGGCGAGATATGACGCGAACGACTTTTTCGAAACACCCGCGACAAAAGTTTGGCAAGACTTTGAAGATCGCCCTCGGGAAGGGAACTTTCGTTTGACGAAGCACCCCCTGCGCAAATCTTCACACGAAGATTCGTCAAATCACGTCGTCAAATTAAACCTCGTCAAACGAAGGGGGAGCTGGGAAAAGAGACCTCGTGGACAGTGGACAGGGGTTACGTTGCGACCCGAATACGCCGCAGCCGCCGAGGGGGCCACTGCCTTAGCACGCTCCTCCGAGCTCCTCCAGACTCCTCCGAACTCCTTCCCCAGTGTTCCGGAGCGGCCCTTTACCTTCTTTGGAAATCGCCATCCGAGCAGGTGATTTTTCGAAGTAAGTAAGGGCCTCTGCTTCTTGGAGATTATCACTTTTTTCAATAATTGTGGGGAGTTCGGGATGCTTTCGACCGATCTTGCGGCACTCTTGGGGGCCTCCTGGAGCTGTCTCAGGGCCCTCTTGGGCCCCTCCGAGGGCCCTGGGAAGGGCCCAAAGAAGGCCCCAGGCGTGCTCCAAGAGGCTCCCAAGAGGGCCCCACAAGGCCCCCAAGAGGGCCCCAGAATCGGTCACGCAAGGAAGACTTCGCGTGACCGCTCTGGGGGTCTTCTTGGGGCCGTCTCGGGGTCCCCTTGGAATTGTCGCGGGACCCCCTGGGCCCTTCCCAAGGGCCCTCAGGTGGCTCCAAGAGGGCCCCAAAAACGGTCACGCGAAGCCTCCCTTGCGTGACCGATATTGAAGCCCTCTTGGAGTTGTCTTGGGGCACTTTTGGAGCCGCTCTGGGGCCCCATAGGCCCTTCCTAGAGCCCTCAGACGGCCCCGAGACGGCCCCAAGGCAGCTCCAAGAGGGCCCCAAGAGCGGTCACTGACGGGACCGAACGACTCACCCACGCCGCGACCCCCCCGCAACCCACCCGCGACCCACTCGCGACCCATCGACGCCGCAAACCACCCGAGATCCACCCGCGCCGCGACCCGCTCGCGCCTCGACCCACCCGCGCCGCGACCAAACCGCCGGGACGACGACAACAAAAGCAACAACAAGCATAATCCTCACCGTGGATCCCCATTTCAGCCACGCACCCAGGGACTCTGTAAAACCGCTCGGCCCCGTCACTCTGATCTGCTGCACCACGCTGTGAAGACATCCCCCACGGACAAGACCACCCATGCACTCATACACGAAAGAACGCTCGCTAAACGAGATCTCACAATGTAGGTCCGCGCCCGCGGCCGACGCGAAAACAAAGTCGGCAGGTCTGGGCCTACAGAAGGGCACCTGTTGGTGTCCATGAGCACGCCTGCGAAGTTGCCCTACTCCCCCGGCCAAGCGCACCACTGACATTCTCGATGCTTCGCGATGTTTAGACGACGGCGGACGACGTGAATAGGCGGTCCCTTTCAAGAATGCGTTCTTACCCGGAGCCCGAACTGAAGCACCCCTGGAAAACACAAGGCCAACATCTGGCGCAAAGTTTCTAGCATCATGTACGTCCGGGACGAACGCCTGCACGCCGCTTCAACGCAGAGGCGCTCAAATCTGAACGTCAGGCGCGAGGTCATTCCTGGCGCCCCTGGGGGGCACCTCGGCCCAGGGGCACATCTAGGAACGCCCGACCCTTGAGGGTCCTCCAGGAAGCCTCCAGAGACCGGAAGCCCTGGCTGCTGGGTCGTCCACGGCCGAGCACGATCGCCGCCGTCGCCGCACCGGCTCAGCATTAAGTCGGGCCTGTCCCCCTACAAGAGGATTTTGGACGAATATATAAACATACGGAAAATACGCCCAAAATATTCAAAAATAGTCACACAACAGTCCCCTGACGAGTTTTTGACTATTTTTGAATATTCCGTCTGTAGAGGGACAGGCCCGACTTAAGCTCAGCATCGATCCCCAGACCCCTCCCAGGGTCCGTCCTGGGTATTTTGCTCGAGCTGCGTCCAGCCGTGGCGACGATCACCTCCCGAGACGCCTCGTCGTCAACCGCCCTCACCCCGAGGGTTATGTTGCTCCCATCGTACTCAAGGACCGCATCCCAGAAATAAGTTCGAGCACCCGGGAAAGTGTCGAAGCAGTGCCGAATCAGTGTCGGACGAGCGTCTCCCAGGGCCCGACACTTGCAAACCCTCGACTTTCGGTACCTTCTTAGTGCTCGGAATTCTTCCTGGTGATGCAGGCGAAAGCAGGTTGGAACATCGTAAGCCGAGGGTGGCTTCTTAGCTCTGCCTCCGAGCCCCGCGCCCCTTCCGCCCAGTGGCGTCGTCTTAATCTTCTGTGACATCGTGGTCTGCGTCGTCGTCAGTGACGTCGTCGTCGTCGTCGTCGTCGTCGGCGTCGTCCTCAACATCGTCGTCGTGCTTGTCGTTGTCATCGGCGGCGTCGTCGTCGTCTGCGACGTCGGCATCGTCGTCAACCACCTCCATCGCCTGGCCCTCCGCCGACGCTGCGACGGTCGCCCGCGACTGCGGCCTCCGGGGGGGTCTGCGAGGGGGGTGGGGGGGGGGGCGATCCTCCTCCCCCTCCTCCTCCTACTGCTCCTCCTCGATACTTCTCCTCCCTCCTTCTCTTCCCCTTGTCCCATGGAGCTCGAGCCCATCACCGTCAGTCTCCTAGACAAGCTCCTCAGAGGGGCCACACCCCCAGAAATATAGTCAAGAGCTTGCCTCAAGTGGGGCCCAAGAACATCCTGAGGCTCTCCGATGAGGCTGCGCAAGACCTGATTGATATTTTCCACGAAGTCGGAAGAACGCCAACTTCTGCAAATATGGGCACATATCACTCCGGAAGAGAAAAGAAGGGGCCGTTCCATCGCGATGATGCGCTCGTGGCTACACTGTGGGAGCAGCTGAGAGGAGCCTGCACGGACAGATGGGCTCAGGAGGGGGTCGAACATGCACCGCGGGATGATGCAGTCAAGGGGACTTCAGCAGCGCAGGCAGCTTTGAGGAGACCCTTCTTTGACGAGTGCGCAGTGGAGCTAATAGACACCTCATCGGTGGGGTCGGAGTAGATGGGGCCGGAGGATCGCGCCGCATCGGCGATACATCGGCGATGCATCGGCGACGCATCGGCGATGCATCGGCGATGCATCGGCGATGCACTGGCGATCGTCGACGTCGGCGATGCATTGACGACGTCGACGTGAAGCAGATCGGTCCCTACATCGGCGATGCATCGGCGATGCGGCGCGATCCTCCGACCCCGTCCACTCCGACCCCATCTAGGATCGGGCGTTGGCAGAACTGGGTTTAAGGGAACCTGGTTTAGTGATGTGTACCGGGGGGTGCCCTCCCCGCCCCGTTCCGCTAACCGGAACTGCCGTCACCCGAAAAACATCAGTTACGGCAAACCTGGCTTAGTGAATCTGGCCAATTAAGGGGCCTCAAGGCCCTACCACTAACGGGGTCCCCTTACTCGGGGTCCTGGCTATACCCGATAGGAGGCCTAGAGCTACGCATCGCACAGGGGTCAGGTCGCCTTGCCGTCGCAGCTCTCTATGGCCCTCTCGACCCCAGCCTCGTCGTGCAAACGGCCGGCGGACGCCACCGTGAGTGCGGCTGGGAGGGCGGACCTATAGACTCGTGGATGCCACGCCAATGGGCACCCTAACAGACCACTGGAACTTCTCTGCCAGCACGCCTCCTCTCCACAGATCGACTCCCACAACCCTGGACGTGCTCGCGCCAGCAACAGACAGCACCCAGGGATCGGTGTTGGGCCGCCGTCTTCGGCCTCGGCGGGCCCCCGCCCGGCCCTGGGGCCGTCAAACAGCGCCTCTCTGGATGCAACGCCGACCCCCCGGGGCGCAGGGGCCGGGGCCTCTGGTCGAGTCGGGCGAAAGGGGGGGATAGCAAAGGGGAAGGTTGAGAATCAGCTCACGTAGCTGATTTTCCCCGCGCCTCCCGGCGCCGGAGGCGGCTATGTATCGAGGAAGGGGCCCCTCGGTAAGGCCGAAGCCAGCTGCATGCAGCAAATTTCGTAACCCCCCCTTTCCCAATCCCCCCCTTTCGTCTGGCCCGAGTCTTCGGCCTCGGCGGGCCCCCGCCCGGCCCTGGGGCCGTCAAACAGCGCCTCTCTGGATGCAACGCCGACCTCCCGGGGCGCACGGGCCGGGGCCTCCGGGCACCGCGAGCTGCACATGCAGAGCCAAGACGCCGCGTGTCTGGGGCTGCACAGGGGCCTGCGGCCGGCCACCTGCCCGAGCGGGCCCCGCTTCCCCTCTTATCCCGTCGCGCCGGGGCTCCGCCTCTTCCCCCGCGGCGTGGCGGCTTCAACCTGCATGCAGCGCGTGCGCCCTGCGTTGCCGGTCCGCCGGAGCAGCTTCAGGAGGGGAAGAAGCACACAGGCACAATGAATCGTCGACTCCCAGGAAAATATGGGAAAATATGGGAAGTGGGGGGGAAGACGAAAACCCAGAAAATATTGGAAAATATGGGGAATCTTTTATTGTGTATTTATTTGTGTCCTGGGCCCCTTCACAGTCACCGTCTGCCCGGCCGCCGACGCAAAAGAAGTCTGGGGCTGGCCGTGCGGAGGGCCGAGCTCGCCACCTTCCCAGACCCCCGACGTCTTTTTGTCTCTCCAGCATGAAGTCGGGCCTGTCCTCCTACAGGGGGATTTTGGACGAAAATCCCAAAATAGTCAGAAATACCCTCTAAATGGTCTAGAATACTATTCTTTTCCAGCGCAAACACCTGATGATGAAAACTGCCAGCTTCCCAACTGATGGGAAGTGGACTCCACCATGAAGGCAAAGAGAAGGCGATCGGGACCGAATCCCGAGCAGTGCAAAGTGGTGGCCAGGCCCACCCGTTCGCGTGACGACGCAGAGACCCAAACAGCAAAAGGATTACAGCAGCTGTTTAGCGAACATCGCTCTGGACTAGGAAGCGGCAGTCTACCCAGAGACTAGAATACTAAAAAATCGTCCCCATGCTATGTTGTGTCTATGTTTGAATATTCCTCCTGTAGGGGGACAGGCCCGACTTGACTCCAGCACGGGGCACCCGAGACCTCTCGACGAGCAAAAGGCTGCCTCCAGACGCCAAGAGCGGCAACAGTCCTCCGGCCTGCGCTTGCTCGACGCGCCGGGATGTCCGGGCGCGCACGAGAGGAAGCCGCCCTCCAGCCGCCGACCAGTGCAGGGCGGCTGGAAGAGGTGGAAGCTGGAGAGTCAGCGCAAGTGGAAGTGGCCAGGGCTGGAGGACCTGGAAGAAAAGTGAGGGGCAACGGCAGGGGGGGACCAGGGGGGGAGGCATCGACCGATGGAGCCTCCCCCCCTGGGCTGGCCCAGGGGGGGAGGCATCGACCGATGAAGCCAGGGCCTGGAAACCGATGAAGTCCAGTTGAGGCCTGGCGATGGATACCACCACCATCCTCGCCAGACAAGGAACACTCCAGGGCCTGATGCCTCCTGGGCACACTCCTTCACGAATGCCCCCACCGTAAGTGAAGCGGCCATCCTCGTCAGCGCCCTCACGGCCACCTGTGAGGGGCAACGATAGGGGGGGACTGGCCCAGGGGGGGGATGCATCGACCTGGAATCGGCGATACATCGCCGATACATCGGCGATAGGCCTCCGATAGTGGATCCGCACCTTCCTGGGCAGGTCGGGGCTATCGGGCCACTGTCGGCGATCAATGGGCGAGTGGGGGTCGATGCATCCCCCCCTAATGCCTATCCCCCCCTATCGTTGCCCCTGAAAACAAGGGGAAGCGAGGCCGAAACAGTGGGGGGGCGGTCGCCGGGGCTGGAAAAATCAGAGGGACACCGGCCGGGGCTAGAAGGAGTGGGGCCAGAGCCGGCGGTGGACACGCCTCCCTTTCGTAAACCTCCCTTCCGCGGAAACGGCCCAGGGCCGAAACCGACGGACCTGGACCCGCAACGGTGGCGGCCGCGACGCCCTCTCGCGAACCGAAAACGGCCAGATCGCTAATTTAATCGACGTGTCAGGGCAGGAGGTCTGTCAACCTCCGGTCGAAGGGCTGGCCCTGGTCGCTGTCGTCGGCCTCCGCGCACGGAAGCCCTCCGTCTTGTCTCTGCTCGACGCGCCGGCGGTCGGGGCCCGTGCGCGGAGGCCGCCCTCCAGCCGCCGACAACTACGCTCAGGTCGGGCACACGTCCCCTTACAGGCGGATTTCGGGAGACAGACAGAAAGGTAGTCCAAACATAGTTATTCACAACTAGTCAAAAGTGGTCGAAGCACCGTCTCCGGAGTACTTTTTTGCCTATTCTGGAGTGTTCCTCGTGCGGAGGGACATGCCCGACTTACGTCTTGGCCAATGCGAGAATCGGGTGCGCGCAACCATGGATTAGCGATCCATGGACTTGGCGCGCGGTCGCCAAATCCATGGATCGGGGGAGGTGCCCTCCCCCCAAGTGCGGCCGGCGCCGCCTCGTTCGGCGGCGGACATCCGCGACTGCCCACGGAAACGGGACCCGTCGCTAACCCACGCCCCCTCATCCATGATTTCGATCGCCCGAAAATGGAAAGCAACTCGGGGCCTTCGGGTTGGGTTGGGAGGGGGAGGAGGAGGAGGAGGAGGAGGAGGAGGAGGAGGAGGAGGAGGAGGAGGAGGAGGAGGAGAAGGAGGAGCCATGTTTGCGATCGCCTGAGAGAAAGCCGCCGGCCAGCCCTCCGCCGCAGGGGGAGCCGCCCTCTTCGGGGGGCGGCGGCGGTGCCCGCCCGCTCCAACTCAAAGTGTTCGCTGCGCGCGGCGGGCACGCGGCCGCCGCGGAGAAGGAGGAGGAGGAGGAGGAGGAAGAGAAAGGGGAGGAGGAGGAGGAGGAGGAGGAGGAGGAGGAGGAGGAGGAAGAGGAGGAGGAGGAGGAGGAGTTCTCGCGCGAGGCGCCGTCGGATGTCCGCGGCCGTGCCCACAGCCAGGCGCCGCCCCCTGTCGCTCGGCAGGGGGCGCCCGTGCGCGAGGCGCGCGCCCGGCCAGCGCCGAGAGCGCCACGCGCGGGGCAGCTGCTCTCTCCCCCAAGGGGGGGGGGGATGCGCTCGAGGGCTGCCGTGGCGGAGGTCACCAGAGACAAACGGACCACTGCCACCAGCCAGGGGGGGGGCTGTCCCACTCGAGCTGGTGCCACCTGGTTCCGGGCATGCCTCCAGAGAGTGCCCGGAAGGAGGTGCCACCAGCACGAGGGGAGGGAGCGGCCACCCCCCTAGCTGGTGGCAGTGGCAATTTTGTCTTTCCTAAGGAGGAGGGCGGAGGGAGGGAGGCAACTGCTGGGAGGTCTTCGTCGGAAGGACTATGGGGGAATGAAGCCCCATTGGGGGCCTACTGCACCGGATTAATTATGCCGCAGATCAAACTGGATCAAGCCGGATCAAGCGGGATTGAGCTAGATTCAGCGGGATTAAGCCGGATTTCGGACCAGGGCAAAAACAGAATTTGACCTCCCAAGAGTTGCATCTGAAAAGGAGTAAGGGAGGGAGGGATGCGGAGAAGGACGAGTCTCGAACGTTGCTTCTTGAGCATCGATCCTCGACGACGGACGGGGCACTTAGCCGGCGCTGCCATGGGCGGAGGAGGGACGATGGGCGGAGAAAGAAAATTCTGAGGAGGGGGCGGAGGAGCTGGAAAAGGATGAGTGAGGAGGATTGGGGATGAGGGGTGATGATCATGAGGAAGAGGAACAGTGGCGAGGAGGAAGAAGTGGTGGAATGGCGGCGCGGCCTGTGGTCGTGCACGCTGGGCACTGGAGCTTGAGCCTGCCGCATCATGGCGTCGTACGTCATGGCCTGGTGCATCGACTGCAATGCTGACACGGCCTCCGCCCAGGACAGCGACGCCCCCAGCTGCTCGTGGCCACAGTGCGGTGGCAGCTGCCCCCAGTCCTGGGCAGAGGGAGATTCGGCTCACCAACACTGGGCCTCCACAGGCCTCACCCACTCCTCCTCCTCCCCCTCCCCCTCCCCCTCCCCCTCCCCCTCCCCCCTCCTCCTCCTCCTCCTCCTCCTCCCTCCTCCTCCTCCTCCTCCTCCTCCTCCTCCTCCTCCTCCTCCTCCTCCTCCTCCTCCTCCTCCCCCTCCCCTCCCTACCTCCTCCTCCTCCTCCTCCTCCTCCTCCTCCTCCTCCTCCTCCTCCTCCTTGATGTAAATACATATCTGCTCCCGGCCAGGCCAGGGGGGGGCCCTCTGAGGCTTCCAAATCAGCCCAGGAAGGCCACCAAGGCCGCCAAGACGGCCCAGCATGCCTGCGGGACGGCCCAAGATGGCTCCGAGAGTGGCCAAAATGGCCTCATGACGGCCCACAATGGCATCAAGCCTCCAAGATCGCCCAAAGAGGGCCCAAGAAAACTCCAGAAGGCCCAAAACGGCTCATAGACGGCCCAGAACGGCCCCAAGAGAGCCTCAAGCTGGCCCCAAAAAGGCCTCTGGAAGGGACCCAAGACGGCCTGAGATGGCCTTTGGACGGTCCCAGCACGACCCCCGGGACAACCAATTGAACTCCAAGACGACCCAAAAGAGCTCCCAAACGACCCAAAACGACCCAAGAAGGCTACAAGGGGCCCCCAAGACTGTCTCAAAGTAGCCCCAGAGAACCCTCAAACGGACCACTGGTAAAACGAAAAACGCCACATGTGACAGGTTTCCTCTTCCTCCTCCTACAGCTCCTCCTCCTCCTCCTCCTCCTCCTCCTCCTCCTCGTCATCGTCGTCGTCGCTATCGCAATCATCATCAACACCACCACCATCGGCATCGCCATGATCGTTCCACCAGTCGCCACCCAAAGTGCTGGGCTAATTAGCACGGCCCGAAGGATCCTAGACGGCCTCAGAAGACCCATCGACTGTGCAATATGGCCTCAAGAGCCGCAAGACGACCCTGGAGGGCCTCCCAAATGACAAGAGATCCATGGGGTCTCAAAGACTGTGCCGTAGGAGTCCAAGACAACTTTCACACGGCCCAAATGTGTTCTGTGAGAGCTCCTCAAGAGATGGAGACGAAAGGGGACACATACGAAAGCTGTCCCATTCCTCCTCCGCATGGTTGTCCTGATCAGCACTGCCATCATCATCATCAACATCCTCATCACCGTTCGAAAGACCCGAGGTGCTGGGTACTGCAGATTCGCGTGGTGCCGACCCTGGCGTTGGTGCCTGACACCGCGGGGATCGTTCAACCCTGAAAGATCGGCGGCTTCCGAAACGTCAGATCGTCCAAAATCGACCCATTCTGGGGGGTCCCAGGCGGCGTTCAACGTTGAACGCCAACGTCGGGGTCGCCGCCAGTCGATACGACGCGAGCCTACCGTAGGCATCCCAACAAGTCGCGGTCGTCACCGTCGTTGCGGGCGTCGACCTTCAGTCGAGAGCGGGAGGCGGTCTCGGCCGGCAGCGAGGCCTCTACTAACGCTTTAGGTATCCAGCCGAACCACCGAGCAAGCGGTCTCCGCGACTCCATCGCGGATCGCACCTGTCAGCAACGCAGGATCGTCAACCTCGGGGTCGACGCCTAGCTCGCCGCAGACATGTCTACCTGTCCCTCGTCCTCCTCCCCCTCCTCCTCCTTCTCCTTCCCCTGTTCTTCCTCCTCCTCCTCCTCCTCGTCATCATCATCATCATCATCATCATCATCATCATCATCATCATCATCATCATCATCATCATCAGCATCAGCATAAGCATCACCAGCATCATCATCATCGTCATCCTCATCCTGAGGATGATCGTCACCATCGTCGTCGTCGTTCTCATCAGCATCTCCGTCAGCATCATCATCAGCAGCATTATCAGCATCAGCATCAGCATGAGCATCATCAGCATCATCAGCAGCAGCGTCATCATCATTACCGACACTACCATCATCCTCGCCCTGATGCTCATCATCATCCTAACCTCCCTCCTCATCATCATCAGCAACAGCAGCATCAGCATTCCCACCCCTCCCCCAGCCTCATCCTCATGCTTGTCCTTATCATTAGCCTTATCCTCCTCCTCCTCCTCTTCCTCCTCCTCCTCCTCATCATCGTCATCACCAACACCACCACAATCATCAGCAGCAACATCAACGTCATTAGTATCACCATCCTCATCCTCATCCTCATCCACATCCTCGTCCTCCTCCTCATCCTCATCATCATCACCACCACCAACATCATCATTATCATCATCATCAGCAGCATCAGCTTCATCATCAGCACCATCATCAACAGCATCATCAACATGATCATGATCATGATCATGATCATCATCATCATCATCATCATGATCATGATCATGATTATGATGATGATGATCATCATCATCATCATCAGCATCAGCACCAGCATCAGCAGCATCAACATCATCATCACCGCCACCTCCATCATCCTCATTCTCATCATCCTCATCCTCATCACGTCTCTCCCACCCTCGAACAACCGCCACCCACCATGCTGGGATGGCGCGGTGGCGGGAATTTCCGCACAAGCAGCTGGATAATAGATCCGATCCGCCCCCGGCCGTGCCAGGACGCCCTGCACGTGCCAAGATCTGGCCCAGCGTGGGCCCTGTGAATGCCAGGCGGCGACCCAGACAGGGCGTGCGTTCCTTCTCCCCCCGTGGGCCGTGACGTCTCCTGCTGCTCGTGCCCGGGGTACGGCGGCAGGAGCCCCTGGTCCTCCGGCGGCGCCCGGGGGGAGGGGCGGGGCCAGGCGAGGGGTGCGGCTCTCTGAGAGGGCAGCCGGCCTCTCAGAAGCCCTGCTGCCTTTTGAGGGGCGATCTCGAGCACGAGCCGTCGCGCGCGCGCATCGCCACTCCTCATCGTAGAGCGTGGGGCTCTCAGGTGGCCGTCGTGCTGGGGTCCGATTTGGGGTCCTCTTGTGGCCCCCTTGGGCCACAATTGGAGCCATTCGGGGAACCCTTGGAGTCTTCTCGAGGCATCTTGGGGCGCTCGTGGGCGGTCCTGGAGCCAGAGTGGACTCATCCAGGCAGCGTCGTGGACACGCTTGCGGCCATCCTTGGCAAGATTGGGGCCCTCTTTGGGCCCAGTGTGAGTGCCTATTGTGTGCTCTTAAGCTGAGGCCCTCTGTTGTTTGGCGGATCAGTCCGCTCTGGGGCTCCACTTTGCGCCCTCTGGTGACTTATGGGGGCCATCTTTGGCTCTATGGCTGCTCATCGGCCGCCCCGAGGCCGCCTGGGAGATACATCTGGTCGAAAGCGCAACACCCAGGACGTAAGCAAACACCTGAACAAGGGGCACAGCTTGTTTTTGACAAATGGATGGGTCGTCTCGGAGCCTTCTTGTAGCCTCTGGGGGCCCCACCTTGTTGGAGCCTTTGGACACCATCTTGGACTCTCCTGGAACAGTTGCGGGGGACCTAATGGAACCTATCGTAAGGCACTGGAGCAAGTATTCGAGCTCATGGGGCATCATGCAGGAGCCTGGAGGGTTTATGTTGGACGTGTGTTAGCGTCAAGTCCTGATCCCATCTCGAACTACCAACTCCAGGCGCGACAAGGGGGACCGAACGAAGGCCCATAAAGCGAGCTTGGCGAGGGCCAGGCAGAAGAACCCGACCGGAGGGACCGACCGATGAGGCCTCGAATATCGCGGAGGGACTGCAAACTGGCAACCATACCAATCAACGCGGTTGCTTAAAGCCTGAACCTTCAAGTGCTACTCACTCATCCTCATCCTTGACATGCTTTGGGAGGGGAGATAGAGAAACTTGAGGTCCGAGCGGAATTCCTGGATCGGCGCTGGACTCCCTCCCTGGCGCGTGGAGCGCGCCAAGCGTGGCGCCGGAGGCACCGCCACGGGGCTCCAGCGCCGTTCCGAGAATTCGAGCGGACCTCCGAACATTTTGTTTATGATTGTTTGTTTCCAGAGAGAGGGTGCACTTGCTGCAGTTCCGACTTCATTTTCTGGCGCGACAGAAGCAGAGCCATTTCTAGTCAGGGTCGGCCATTATAGCCCAAGACATCCGCCGAGCCTGTCGGCGTGTGGAATGCGCCGGCGCCATGGACCGATTGTCTCCACAACTTCACCAGACCTTTTCCTTCATTGCTGTTGCATCGCATTGGACGCGTGTTGCATCACATTGAATTGTATTGCGTTGCGTCGAGCTGCCTTGTACTGCGTTCATTGCATGGGATCTGTTCCCGACCCACCAGCAACGCAGCGGGCGCTGTTACCTTGTAGCACAACACTGCGAAGTGCGACCCAGCAGCAACACGGCGACGCGTGTAAACTCGGAGTGAAAAAAACGATGTGGCCACCGTTGTGTTGCTACTGGGTCAGAAGAAAGTCTTGCATAACAAGGAGAAATTTCAACGGCAGGCATCGAACGTCGATTAAGAGCTGAGGGAGAAGAGGAGTGGGTAGGATGAGGCGACAAGGGGGAAAAGAAAGAAGAAGATGATGAAGGAGGAACAGCGCCAACGCCAGCAACAAGAGAGACCAGGCTTGGCGGCAGGGGAGGGCGGAGGAAGAAGAGGAGAGCCGACAGAGCAGGGGAGCTGAACGCCCCCCGGCGTGTCCAGAAGACTGTACGAACTTTTCTGCAGAAACTTCATCCATCTCCTGGCGAAACCTATACTCTTGAACCCTTGCTCCAGAGGAGTGGCGATCTAGGGGCTCGAGTTGATTTCTTGCTTGCTGCTGTTGAGTTGTTATGTCTTTCATTTCCCAAGGCCTCCCTGGGGCCGCCGTCCTGACTTCCAGTTCGCACGCACGGGGGCTCTGGGATGTGTATATATATATACATATATATATAGTAAGAGATCGATGTGCACATGTAGATTGAAAACAACATCGGGTCTCTAGCGAACCCGCCATTATCTGGAACAGCGCTTCTGAACAATCGCTAGGGACTCGGTTTTACTTGCTTGAACCTTTAAACTCTCTAAAAATTGAATATGTCCGAGAGACCCTTCTGCGCGCGACCTGAAATACAATAGGTCGCCCCAGGGAAGATCGGGAAACATAGACATAAATATTGAAATGCATAAAACAACTATTCGAGTGCCTGACGAACCTGTTTGCTTCAACCGTTATTGAAAAGACTGGCGGCTTCGCTGGGGGCTGATTTGTTTCTCTTACGTTTGCAAATTTCCCAAAACACCCCTGAGTGCGAACTGGAATACATGACGGTGGTCCCAAAGAGGCACTGGGATTTTTTTGCTATAGCAAAGACAAAGCACGAAACACAAAACATGATAACTAACAATGAAAACCGGGTCCCTCGCGACACGGGTTTGGATTTGAACCGCTGGTCCAACGAAAGCCAATTCCTGAGGTGGGTACCAGGGGGGGGCGCCACCACACACACATATATATATATATATACATGTATAAATATGCAGATGTACCTGTCCTATACATAAGTTCACAGACATATGCAACTGCTTATCCATGTACACGTACGTGTGCGTCTACATATACAGATACATGTGCATATGAATGTATACATATTGGTTTACAAAAAGGGACTCCGTCGTCGTCGCCATCGCTGTCGTCGTCGCCGCCGTCGTCGCCGTCCTTGTCGCCGCCGCCGCCGCCGTCGCCGTCGTCGCCGAGACGGGGGAAGGGAGGAAAGAGAGGGGGTGCAGATCAGCAGGAAAGCACGAGGTAGGAGAGGGCACACGGTGGGGAGGATGAGGAGGAGGAGGATTTCCTTCTGGAAGAGAGCGGGATAAGAAGGAAGGCGCGGTTGCGATGACGTCGAAACAACACGCCGAATGCGATCCTACTTTTGCCTTGTCCCATTCTGGCCAGAAACCCGCATCGTTCAAAGCAGCGTTTCAGAACTGCTTCGACGCGTTTCACTTGTTTGGGTGTTTGGATCCGGTGCCCTTGAGCCTTTCCAGGGCCCTTAAGGAGCCCTCCAAAAGCCCTCAAGAAACCCCATCAAGTCCCTTGCTGAACCCCTTTAAAAAGGGTTTTACGGAGGCCCCCAAAGGGCCCACGAGAGCCTTTCCAGGAGGCCCTCACAGAGCCCCTGCATGTTTTCAAGGGGCCCCGCACGGCCAACCTCCAAGAGGACCCTGGGACCCAGGAGCCCCAAAAGCTTGAACATTCTTCCAAACACTAATAAGAAGTATTTGTTGTTCCTCCTCAAGCCCTTTCCGGGCTCTGAGGAAGAATTTTGGGCGTTTTGGAAGCCTCGTGAGCCGCAGGCTTGTACAAGCCGTATCCACAATTAACTCGCGCATCCAGGCAACACGTCCAACATTCGTTAGTCCATTGCGGAAGCTATACATCGCGTTGGGACAACAGCTTATACACATTTCATCACACCGGATACAATCAGAGAATCATGTACCCGTTTCGATTACATCATGCGCAACGCAACTTCCTGCGATTTGCTCGTGTAGTTTCGTTTAAAAATCGCTTGTAATATCCATTGGCACTTTTTGAGTTTGAAATATGGTTCGACTTTCGATGTGCATTCATGTCGCATTTGCAGACGGCGACAGCATTTACCCGTGGGCCTCTCGAAGACCCCGCCACGAGACCGTGCATGCAGTAGCGTACACGCTTGCGCCGAGACCAGTTGAACAACCTTTTCCCCGAACGTCCCAACCTGCCCTCACGAGAGGCGAACCTGTGTGTGTATATATATACATATATATACGCCCTCGCGGTCTGGATTCTGGGGTGCCATCCCGCGGATACGCGGTCGCACGGATACGTGCCGCGCGGTGCATCCTCGAAACATCTACGCCCCGTACCTTCGAAGACGCGGCCCAAGGGCCCGGCCCGCGAGACCGCGGACACGGACATGTTTTTCGCCTGCCACGTTTCCCTGAACGTCCCAACCTGCACAGTGCACGGCGGGAAATGGCACTCAAACTAGCTCAAGTCCGGAAATGGAAACAACTGGGACTCGAGAGTCCGGCTAACCCCTGCCGTCGGCGGAGGATAGGGGTGAGCGGGGGTGAGAGAGGAACCGACACGTCGCGGCGAGTCCAGGAAGACAATCAAAGTGGTCAATGCCCCCTGGGCCCAATTATGTAGAAAAGAAATCATCGGCATAAGGCATGAGCATAAACTTTCGAAGGTCTACGCGGATTCCTTGGATCGGCGCTGAACCCCCCTCCCTGAGCGCGCCAGGGGCGGCGCTGGAGGCGCCACCAGGGGGAAATAATCAGATTTGTTCAGTTCCGGATTCGAGTCGAGCTTAAGAAAGCAACGGTTGGGGGCAGGGCCCCCCGTGGGGCCAAGATTCGATTCTGAGTCGTCCGTGAGGAGGAGCGCAAGGACCCTTTGCTTTGCCTCTTCGGGGGACCTTGCCTGTCCTATCAATGTCGGCGTATTTCGTGTACTCCGACGTGGATCTGGCGTGGGTTCCGAGTGGGTTCGACGCGGAGGCCGGCGCGATGAGACAGACGAGGTCCTCCGAAGATGCAGCTTCGGGACCCCAAAGCCACGAGGTGACGGACCGCGCGGTGACCTCGGAATCCCTGGCGACCTCACCGCGCGGTCCGTCACCGCAGGAATTTTTCTGGGACGCTCTAGAAACCCTTGCCCTCGAGACGTCACCGGAGAGAACGCCCCGAGCCCCGAAACCGTGGCGTGACCCCCAAGTCCCCACTGAGTCACCAAGACGGTGTGGTCACCACGCCGTCTTGTCCTCCTCCTCCTCCTCCTCCTTCGCCTCCTCCGCCTCCTCGCCTCCTCCGCCTCTTTTCTCCTGCTCCTCCTCCGAAGACGCAGCAGGAGGCGGGCAGAGCGTCTGCTCACCGATCCTGCTCCGGGAGGCCGCCCGCCAGGAGGGCTTGCAGCAGGTCGGCTGCGTCGGGCTCGAGCCCCGCCTCGCGAGGTGCGCGGGCGGTGCGAAGAAGGACCAGTCGAGAAAACGGCGGCCCCCCTTGCGTGCTGTTTCTTGTTGAAATGGATCTTGTACGAACAACTCCCGCAAGCCTCTCGTCGCCAGGCCTGTCTCCGCCTCGAATGACGGGTTAGAATGGATGGACCCGCGCAGGACTCTGGGGACCAGCTTCGAGCGGGCCAATTCGAAGGCCATGCCCACACAGTGAGGGGCGCGAAATTTGGGGACTGGGGGTGGGCAGTGGCCCAGAAGCGGCGACACACCGCCGACAGATCAGCGACACGCCTCCGATGGCGAAACATCAACGTTGCCGAGCGGCTGGGGGGGGGCCCAGGCTCCGATTGGGGATCGGATCAAAGGTTCGGTTGGGGGTCGATGTTCCCACTTTGGGCCGGTCGGGCCCTACGATGCCCCTGGCTGGTGCGGCCTCGTGGCGGCTTGAGGCTGGTGTGGCGCTCGCCTGAGATCCAGAGCCCCCCCCGCGGCAATTCCTGCGCAGCATCCCAGCGAGAGCCTCGATCCGCAACCAGCCGTGTCGACAAAGCGAAGGACCAAACAAACACTCTCACAATCTTAGCATATATATAAATAAATACACTAGAGCCATCGCCCTCATACTCGGCCCGTTGGCCTTCGAACCTAGCGTATAGCTCAGAAGAAGGAACCACGCCCGAACATATGGGGTCCGCATGCTTTCGGAACCGACGGAATCGCTGCTGAAGGTGCAGTTGGCGTCTCCTCTTGCGAACCACTAAAGGCAGCAACGCATGCATACAAGCACACACATGCATATGAACGTGTGTATGTGTATATAGCTCACTCTACATATCGCGACGCATGTAAACTATAAAGATCTCTGTCTCTCGTCAGATATATATATATATATATATAAACAGAATTTCCAAGCAGTGCTTGTGGTTAGGGGTCTCTTGCTTCTGCTCTGTGGATCTGGGCCGTGTCTTCGGCCTGGCGGCTCTGTGGCCGCCGTCACCGCCCCGCCGCGGCCCCGTCGCCGCCCGTCGTCTGGGCCGTGCCTTCGGTCTGGCGGTTCTGTGGCCGCCGTGGCCGCTCCGTCGCCGCCCGTCCTCTGGGCCGTGTCTTCGGTCTGGCGGCTGGAGGAGTCTAGGGTCTCGAAGCCAGTGGGACTTCGATCGTGGATAGGCCATGGGTATTACCGCCGCCCTTACTAGATAAGGAAATCCCCAGGGTCTGAAGCCTCCTGGGCACAGCCCTTCACCAACGCCCCCACCGCATCACAAGGGATTGCAGCACGTGGATCGCATCACATAGAATACACCATATCTATTGACCAGCATAGACTTCACAACATCGGCGGCACCAAGATATTGCACCGCGTAGGGAACACCACATGCGTACTATAACCTGATTTGCAACACATAGATCGCACAACATAGTTTTCGCCATTTAGATTACGCCATATCAGTTGTACCGCAAACATTGCGCATCGCATGTGCTGCTCAGCATCGATTGCACTACTTGTATTGCACAACCTAGGTTGCACAACATGCATTTCAAAACAAACATGGCATCACACTTACTTCACAACACTTAGTGTTCCACGCAGGCTGCACACGATATCTTGCTAGGATCACAATGTGTTGGTTCCACGCTGGCTGACACACACGCATACACTTAAATGCGCACGGCCAACATATGTATATATTCGTATGTAATCAGATTTGCATACATGCATACACACACATGCATGCATACCTACATACGTACACACATCTATACACATATATGATTCCCGCGCTGTTGCCGCCCTACCCCCGCCGCCACAGCTCTGTCCACAGGCCGAGGGCTGGAGCAGGGGACGGGGGAGGAGGTGGAGAAAGGGACACGGGGCAAAGGGCAGGGGAGGAAGGAGCACGGAGGGGGGCCGAGGCAAGAAACGCAGTGAGGAAGATGCTGGTCGTCATCTTCGCGCTGTTTCGCGATGGTACGGGCCTGATGACAAACAAAAAGGACTGGTTGCCGGGCCCGGAGGTCGTGTGGTAAGGATATACAGGCAAACCTAAAGAAATCTGCTTCGCAAACCACTGCGACACCAGAGGACGAGCGGTGCAGACGAAACCGGACAGCACGATTATAAGTTTAGCAGATCGGCAAGCTGAGGCGTGCCCGTGGGGACACTTGCCCGAGGCAGTGAACGTCGCTGAAGTCTGGATCAGCCCCCCGAGCTCTGCAATCTGCCAACGCATACTGCCCCAGTGCGCGCAGCAGGCACTGAAAGGCAGCGGGCACAAGGTATCACCAGGAGGGAAGGAACTGAAGAAAGGCGAACTGGGGAAGTGGAGACACTAAATAGAGGATAGCTTGTGCATGCGCTGTCCATGCCTGGCGTCGGATCTCCTGTTCTTGGCTGGTGGGGCGCCACGCGGGGCAATAGTCAGCGCCCAGACCTGCGCGGCGCGGCTGGCTGCGGCGCCCGCCAGCCGAGGGCCCTCTGACTGCCGCAGATAGCAATCCAGACTGTGGGACGCGTGCGCAGCAACAATCGCGCAGATCTCCCTCGGGCCGCCCGCGGCCATGCAGCGGAAGTGGTCTGGAGCCGGACAGATCCGCCCTGCGCGCGGCGGGTCCCTGCAGTGCTGCAGAGACGAGCGACCGAAGCTTACCTCCGCGGGGCGGCTCGGGAGGAGCGCAGGGCCACGCTGGGGCCACTCGTTCACGAAGATGGCCCCGTCAAAGGCGTACCGCGCCGCCGTGGTCCTGTCCCCGGCTGGGTGTCTGGGACGGGTCGTCTGCCCGGTGCTCGCGGAGGATGGCCAGTTCCTCACGGCATTCGAGGCCGCCTCAGGCCCGCTCCAGTCCGAGCCTGCGCGCTGACGGTGGCGCGGGGCACGACCTCCCGCGAGGGCGCCGGCGCAGGGCCCCAGCCTCGGCGGCAGCTCGGCGTTGCGGCATCCGCAGGTACCCTCGCCACTGCGAGACCCAATGCGCGGGGGTAAGCAGCGGTGAAGCTCGTCCTCCACTCCCAACCCACGTCTGTCAAATAGGCGAAACCCTGGAGAAACGCGCGTCTGTGACAGCATGGGCAGCGTCGGACGGCAGCCGCGAAGCCTGGCACCGTGCTGCACGGCCGAACAAGTTTTTCCCGGGCTGCAGCGCACATAGACTGGTCGACCTTGTAGGTCTCGCGCCCCAGGCCCCCGCGCCTGGCGGCGCATGGGCTGCCGCTGCCACAAGCACGACGCCAGGGCATCCTCGACCAGCGAGAGAACGCCTAAGCCCCACTGCTGGGATGACCGTGGGGGTTTCTAAGTGGACAGGGGGGTTACAAGCGGATGCCAAGGTGGGTTACATCTGGCCCAACCTGGCTTAATAAGTGGGTTACATGTGGGCCCGACAGGTCGCCCCCATAACGTGCCTTGACCAGTCTCGATCCTTCCTCCTATCGAGGGGCACGCCCGCCTCAGCCCCAGAGCGTGGAGAGCACCGCGCGCGGCGAGGGCGGCGCACGGCCAGAGGCAGCCGCGCGCGCCGCGGGGCCTTTGCCTCGCTCGCCGCCCTCTGGGCGCGGCCGCGGCCGCGCGGCGCGCGGCCGCCGGCGGGGCCCGCCGCCCCGCGCAGGGCGAGGGGCGCGCACCTCCTCCTCCATCCTCCTCCTCCTCCTCCTCCTCCTCCTCCTCCTCCTCTCTTCCTCCTCTCTCCTCCCTCTCTCCTCCTCCTCTTCCTCCTATTCCTCCTCTTGCTCCTCCTCTTGCTCCTCCTCTTGCTCCCTCCTCCTCCTCCTCCTCCCCTCCTCCTCCTCCTCCTCCTCCTCCTCTTGCCCTCCTCCTCCTCCTCCTCCTTCCTCCTCCTCCTCCTCCTCCTCCTCCTCCTCCTCCTCTCCTCCTCCTCCTCCTCCTCCTCCTCCTTCCTCTCCTCCTCCTCCCTCCTCCTCCTCCTCCTCCTCCTCCTCCTCCTCCTCCTCCTCCTCCTCCTCCTCCTCCTCCTCCTCCTCCTCCTCCCTCCTCCTCCTCCTCCTCCTCCTCCTCCTCCTCCTCCTTCTCCTCCTCCTTCTCTTCCCCCTGCGCGGCGAGGGGATGCGTGGGCCACTGGAGCGGCCGTGCGAGCGGCCGCGCGACGCGGCGGCCACCCGCCGAGCGAGGCAGAGGCCGACCAGCCCGGCGCAGTCCCCTCGGAGGCCGAGGGCTACTCCTCGGGGGTTGCTACAGAAGGGGTCCGACCTCAAGAGACCCAACCCTGAGACCCCCAGACGCCATCGATTTTCGCTGTGGGACCGTCACGCCTTCCATGCCAAAATCATCGAAACCCAAGGAATCCAGGGCGCCCTGGAGGCAAGCAGGGTGTCTCTTGACACGGGCCCCCACTGTAGGTGTGCCCCTGGCCAGAGGTGCCCTCAGCTTCTCGTTCCGTGTTGGAGGCACTGGAGTCCTCTGGGCCACGCGGGGGTGCTCAGGAAGCCGTAGGGGTCTCCCTAGAAATCCTGGAGGGACCTTGGGCCTGGCGCAATCGCCTCGGAGGCCGTGGGCCACTCCGTGAGACGAGGCCCGGACGAGGACATAACACCGGGCGAAGATAAATAGATTGAGAATCTCTGAGATCTGGCGGCTCTGGAGGATGCCTCGGGCGCCGCGGCCTCCTCAGAGCGTCCCGGAACGCTCTCGAAGCGTTCTGGGACGCCCTGGAACGGATTTATCCTCGTCCTAGCCCCGTCCGGTCGTCGCCGTCGCCGTCGTCGCCGTCGTCGTCGTCGTCGTCGTCGTCGTCGTCGTCGTCGTCGACGTCGTCGTGATTCCTGTGTCTGGCGTCCCGCAACTGGACAGCACCGCCAGGCACTCAGCCGCAGCGCGCTCCGGGCACGGCGCGCCGGCCGGCGAGCACGATGGGCGAGCAACACTCTCGTGGCTCGCACACGTCGGGAGCGGCAAAGAGGGGGGCGTCAAAGAGGGGGGAGGGGGGGGGGACAAAGCATGACCGGCGGCATGTGCGCGGCCCAGCGGGGGGGCCAGGGGGGACGTAATGAAATAAGAAGAGGCGGCATGAAATCTGGGGAAATATCATGGCCCACGCCATGATATCCCCCCCCCCTAGTCATCACCCCCCTCTGTGCCGCCCCCGAATACGTACTGACCGGCGGCGCCCCTCGCGAGAGCAGGCCGCCGATCGCTGGTGCTGCGAGCTCGTGGGTGAGCAGGGTCGAGAGACGTGCAATCCATCCCCTGCAGGCCATTCGCCGCTGGCCTGGGCTCGAGAAACGAGCTGCGGGAGGCATATCACGTGCACGCGCTGACAATGATATGATATTGCTTTCCGCCTGCGAAGGAAGACGATTCACAGAGAGAAACGCAAGAGGAGCGACTCAACACATGTCTCTTTCCCACTTGGGAAAACGGTGAAACACGGACTACCAACAAATAACAGCGACGACGACGACGACCCCCACGAGCAGGCTAGGAACCCAATGGATTGATCATTGCCAGAAGGCGCTGCTGCGTGGCCCTTCCCCCCAGGCATTTCCGAAGCGTCGTCCTGCACTGATCACCCCCCACACTCAACAGCAACGAAGAGACCAACACAGTGGGGGCCCGACCACAAGAATCCTTCCACAACAAGCCCAACCCTGAGACCCCAGGGCGTCCATCGACCTTTGGTGTGGGAGCGTCACGCTGTCCGCGGCAAAAGCATCGAACCCCAAGCAACCCAGGGCAGCCTGGAGGCAAGCAGGGCGCTGCCTGGCACGGGCCCCCCCCCAGTGGAAGGTGCCAACTGGCCTCTCTGGAACAATTCCGCGAAGGCTCCCGCCCCGAGGCCGACCCCCTCCTTCCTGGGCCCCCCCCCTCCCCCTGCGCGCCGCCTGATCCTGCTGCTCGTGCCCGTAGTGCGGCGGCAGCTGCCCCCACTCCGGCGGCTGCAGCGGCCACTGGCACTGCCACGGCTGCATCGCCCCTCGCGGAGCCGCGCGCTCGTGGGCGACGCGCGTGGGCGGCCTGCGGGGCCTCGGGCGCAAACCGCTCGAGCCCGATCGGCTGCAGGCGGCCTGCGACGACGCATGCGGAACGAGATCGGGCGTTCGAGTCCAGCTGGGCCCCCCCGGAGCCGCCCCTCCCACAGCACGCCAAGGTGCGGTGCGAGCAGTTGGATGAGGAACCGCTTGGGATGAGGAACCCAGGGTCCGGAAGCCGGTGGAACTCCAGTCGCGGCCTGGCCGTGGATCTCACCGCGGACCTCATCAAATGAGGAAGCCTCCAGGGCCTGCAGCCTCCTGGGCGCACTTCTTACCCAACGCCCCCACCGCAGCAGCAGCCTTTCCCGCGCAGCTGGCCCAGGGCGGAGGAGGAGGAGGAGGAGGAGGAGGAGGAGGAGGAGGAGGAGGCGGAGGAGGAGGAGGAGGAGGAGGAGGAGGAGGAGGAGGAGGCGGAGGAGGAGGAGGAGGAGGAGGACCTGCCCCGACGCTCGATCGCCTTTGGAAAAATACGGAAGGCTTATTTTCTACAGGGCAAATCATCATATACATACGCGCGCCTTTATCTTTATAATCCACAGGCGCCGCGCTTGCTAGCGCGAAGTGGTTGTTCCCCCCCCCCCCCCACCGCGTTCGCACTCGCTTGCGTCGGGTGGTCGGGGCGCACTCGGTTAACGATTTTCGCAACCCAGGTGCCTAACTGTTGCTTTTCAGGTATCCAGCCGCGTGGCTCTTTGTGGCGTGCATCCCTGTCCGTCTGTTTTGCTTTGCGCACTTCTCGCTCGCGCGAGCAGCGGCCTGCTGCGGGAGGTAGAAGGAGGAGGGGGAGGAGGAGGAGGAGGAGGAGGAGGAGGAGGAGGAGGAGGAGGAGGAGGACGAGGAGGAGGAGGAGGAGGAGGCGGAGGAGGCGGAGGAGGAGGAGGAGGAGGAGGAGGAACGAGGACGAGGCGAAGGGAGGAGGCGATTAATGCGCACGTCGTTCGCGATTTTTCTGGCCGTTTCGCTCGGGACATCCTCGAACTTCTGAAAATCGGTGGCACCCCTCACGCAGATCGTGACGTCAGGGTCCAAAAACACATGGGAATTTCAACATTTTAACATCAAACCTTCAAAAACACATGGTAATTTCAATAATGTTGACCCCGATTCTCAGAGAATGGCGGTTTCGCCTGAGACATCCTCCCAAAATCGAGCCCCAGACCCCTCCTCGGAGCCTCCTGGGGGCCTCCTGGAACCTCCTGGGGCCTCCTGGGGCTTTCTGGACCTTCTGGTACCCCAGACCCCGCCTCGGAGCCTCCTGGAGTTCTCCTGGGCCTGCTGAGGCCGCCTGGGGCCTCCTGGGGCCTCCTGGGGCCTTGGGGCTTCAGAACTACATGCACACACAGAGACACAAATCACGCCCAACACATCACACGCTAGACAAACATAACATACACACACACACACAACACCGACAACACACAAAAAGCACGCACCACACAAAGCACACATCACACACACACACACTCACAATCCTGGGGCCTCCTGGAGCCTCTTCTGGTATCCAAGTCGGGCCTCCTGAGGCTTCCTGGGGGGCCCTGGTACACACATCGCAAGGTGTGGCAACCCCACTTGCGCTCGAGTGCGACTTCGCTGTTGCATGTCACTCCTGCTTCAAACGCCCCTTCAGCTTGTTGTATGAGCCTGGGCACACACGTGCCACTTGTATATATATATATGTGTGTGCACACACACGTGTGTGTGTGTGTTTGTGTGTGTGTGAGTGTGTGTGTGTGTGTGCGTGCGTGCGTGCGTGTGTGTGTGTGTGTGTGTGTGTGTGTGTGTGTGTGTGCGTGTGCGTGTGCGTGTGCGTGTGCGTGTGCGTGTGCGTGTGCGTGTGCGTGTGCGTGTGCGTGTGCGTGTGCGTGTGCGTGTGCGTGTGCGTGTGCGTGTGCGTGTGCGTGTGCGTGTGCGTGTGCGTGTGCGTGTGCGTGTGCGTGTGCGTGTGCGTGTGTGTGTGTGTGTGTGTGTGTGTGTGTGTGTGTGTGTGTGTCTGTGTCTGTGTCTGTGTCTGTGTCTGTGTCTGTGTCTGTGTCTGTGTCCGTGTCAGTGTCTATGTCTGTGTGCGTGCGTGTGTGCGTGTGTGCGCGTGAGTGCTTGTGTGTAGTAGACTGGCTGATATTGGTCTGGGGGCGTCGTCCATGTTCCCCGATCCTCTTCTTCCCACTCGTACCGCTCCACACTAAGCACGGGTGATCTCAGCAGTTTGTAGCACCACGCGCAATAATCACGCACAATCACGAGCAGCATCACTAAAAGAGTCGACTCGTGCAATGCTTGTGCAATGTCGTTTGTGTGTTGGGTTGGATGTGGTACGGGTCCTCGTCGAACAGTAAACATTGAACAGCCCCGAATCCATGCGCGAGTTGGGCCTTCGCCAGGCATTCGTGCGCCAACTTCGCCACTGTTCGTAATCGCCGTTTTGGCTCAAACAGTTTTGGCTCATGGAGAACAAGCAGCGACGTCCGCGAACCGAAGGTGTGGATCTCTCTTCAACAGATGTGTGCGGAGTTCTCAACGACCGAGTGCCGCTAGCACAGTGCAGACCGAAAGATTTGTGGAAGATATCAAAAATTTCAAAAGATGGCACTACCAGCGAATGGGCAACACTAAAAAAGAACGAGAGTTTACTCAGTGATCTTTTGGACATTGGTCGAGGGAGGATTCCGAAGCAGAAGTCTTTTGCGATTATCTTGGACCAGTGGCTCAAGCATCATTCAATGCATTGGTCATTCACTGAAGTCGAACGGTGCACTCGGGATCTCCGCTGCATGCTGCAGAGCCTCCTTGCCATCAAAAGGAAACCAACCCCTTTGGCGCCAAAGAACTACCCGACTCTTCAGATTCTCATCGACAAAATGGCACTCGACGAGGGCGGCCAAACATCAGAAGCACGGAAACGGAAAGCTGCTGACGTCGAGGAGGCATCAGCATCGGCATCGGATGGCAACGAGGATGGCTCGTCATGCGAAGCGACATCAGCATCGGTTGACTTGGATGCATTGGGCGGGGAGTTGTTCGCACCAAGCTACAAAGTAGAGCACTCAGCTTCTCAACAAGTGGCGTGCCCTTCACCTTTCAAAGGCTTTTCAATCAAGCCTGCATCGATTCCTGAGTCATGGGCGGCCTCGTCGAGTTCGAGCGGTCACGCAACGACACCAAGAAGTGACACTGCTGATGGGGCGATGGGAGCCACACTTCTCTCAGCGAGCCGTTTGGCAGCACTTGCCGCTGAGTCTAACGAAATAGGTCCGTCCCCTGCTGATTTCAAGAGGTTGAACGTGCAGTTGAAGGCTAAAGCTAAGGCTAAGGCTGAGGCCATCATGCCCAAGGCAGATGCCAAAGCTAAGGCTAAGGCTGAGGCCACGCCCGAGGCAGATGCCAAAACTAATGCTGTCATGCGCCGACCTTCTGCAGCGCCAGTGCGGCGCAAGCCAGCTTCTGCGGCAGAGCGCAGCGATGTCGAGGCCGACGCCGAAGCTGCGAAGATGGCCTTCGACCCAGACCCCATCGCGAAATACCTCGACGTCGACGCGATCGGCGTCGACTTGGCTGTGATCCAGAAGCGTCTTCACTCGCACGTTTGGCACTCGGCAGTGAAGAAGCACACTCTAGACGGCTTGACACAAGAGCAAGCTAAACTCAAGGGCGCCGAGGAGGCCGCCTTGCATGTAGACCGCTGGCGCGAGAAAGTCGGCCTGCCTCCGATAGTGAGGTGAGGCGTTGCCGACGATGCTGAGATGAAAATACCTTGAGCCTTGAGGTGCACAAGAGGCGCACAAAAATAATATCACCAATAACTGCGTCATCGTGATCACCGTCATCATCGCGGTGCCGTGCCGTGCGTCACATATTCCTACTCGTCCTCCCCCTCCCCCTCCCCATCGTCCTCCCCCTCTTCAGCATAGCCTCCATCCTCCTCCCCCTTATCCGTCTCATCCTCCTCCTCATCATCATCATCATCACCATCAGCATCATCCTCCTGCCACGCGAAATGCAGAGCAGGCAATCGAGGGAAACGTTACTGAAGACAAACTCGCCCGTGGGCTAATACCGCCTGTGCGTGCCCCCATCGTCTCATTCTCGTCCCCTCGCTCTCCGTTCGTCACATGCGCCACTGGGGCCCCCTGACGCCCCTAGAGGCCCAAGAGAGCCCCGAGAGAAGCGCAAGACGGCCCAAGAGGACTCCAAGACGGCCTCGGGGGCCATGAGGGTATGGGGCAAACCAGTGACCACCATGATGATAATTAAGACATTGAGGGTATTGGGCAAACCAGAAAGGGGGCCATGAGGGTATTGGGCAAACCAGAAAGGGGGTGCGTGAGGGTATGGGGCAAACCAGAAAGGGGGCCATGAGGGTATGGGGCAAACCAGTGACCACCATGATGATGATTAAGATCTTGAGGGTATGGGGCAAACCATGGGGCTACACGGGGCCACCAGTGGACTTGAGGGTATGGGCAAACCAGTGAGGGTATTGGGCAAACCAGAAAGGGGGTGCATGAGGGTATGGGGCAAACCAGAAAGGGGGCCATGAGGGTATGGGCAAACCAGTGACCACCATGATGATGCTTAAGATCTTGAGGGCATGGGGCAAACCAGAAAGGGGGCCATGAGGGTATGGGGCAAACCAGTGACCACCATGATGATGATTAAGATCTTGAGGGTATGGGGCAAACCAGAAAGGGGGCCATGAGGGTATGGGGCAAACCAGTGACCACCATGATGATGATTAAGATCTTGAGGGTATGGGGCAAACCAGAAAGGGGGCCATGAGGGTATGGGGCAAACCAGTGACCACCATGATGATGATTAAGATCTTGAGGGTATTGGGCAAACCAGAAAGGGGGCCATGAGGGTATTGGGCAAACCAGAAAGGGGGGCATGAGGGTATAGGGCAAACCAGAAAGGGGGCCATGAGGGTATGGGGCAAACATGTG